GGGGGGCAGATGATGATGGGAGGGGCGGGGGTCCTGGGGGGCGGAAGATGGACAGGAGACAAGGAGGAGGGCCTTGGAGAGCGTGCTGGGGTGGGGGGCCGTGAGTGGGGCGCTGCAGGTTTGTGTGTTTGGCCTCCGTGTTTGGGGAAGGTGCACTGGAACAGAGCGGTGGCCCGCCCTCGGGGAGGGGAGAGCCCTGTCCCCTGCACGGTGTGCTGCAGCGGGAGGCCTAGTGCTAGAGGCCCTAGCCTTGTGGGGGTTCATTTGGAGTCCTGGGTAGCCCTTTTTCATTTCCATCTCTTTCTGCCCTGTTACATTCTTTCCAGAAACGTCTCTGCAGGCAGGGGGAGGTAAGAGAAGGGGGCAGGGAAGAGAGGAGGTGGGGCGACAGGGAAGCCCCAGGAGCCCATGCAGTGACAGGAACAGAAGCTGGACGGGGTACTGGAGGTGGCTCAGTGGCCAGCCCTGGCCTCTGTCCCCAGAATGGGGTACAAAAGATACATCCCCTTAACAAGCTCTGTTTAATGGAAAGGAGTGATTCTGGTAACTTCTTGATGGGGCTGGAATGTAGCTCAGTGGCAAAGCACTTGCCTGGCAAATGCAGTGTCTCTGGGTTCAATCCCCAGTACTGTCCCCCCCCCAAAAAAGATTTCCAGAGAAAGAGGGATTCTTATCTCCAAATAGATTCAGAAAAACAATAGGTAGGAATGAAATTATTTGTATTTTACTAGTTTTGTTTCTCTCTTTTTTACAATATGGTTTACAAGTCCAACTTCACCGTATTTCATTCTTCATGGGGTGTGGACTTTGGACCTTGTGTTCTTGCTTAGCTTTTTCCTGTCGACGCTGAGGCTCTACCTCTTGAGCCACAGGTCCACTTCTGGCTTTTTGCTGGTTGATTGGAGATGAGTCTCACAGACTTTCTTGCTCCAGGTATCTTCGAACTGAGATCCTCATCATCACCCCTAAATAGCTAGAACTGAAGATACGGGCTATTGGCACTGGCTTTAATGGGATTTTCTTGCTGACCAGTTGTGAATGTTTGGTCGGAAAAGAAGAAAGCAGATTTGGGGGGAAACAGCCTCAGAAACTTGCACAAGCAAGAAGCGAAGCCAGAACACCGTCCCGAGAACCTGGTGTGAATTCCCCTCCTATCTGTAGCCACAGAGGCTTTTCTGCACCCTTGAACATGCTTTTTTGTTTTCACCCATCCTCCCCAACTTTTCTCCCAACTCCTCATATCTTATTTGAACACAGTACATTCTCTAGATTCTGTTCGTTTTTAATAATACAAAGGATAGAACTAAATTCAGGCGTGAAAAAGAAGTTATTCTGTCCTGGATGGATTGGTGAGTTAGCTTCTTGGACTGGTAAATTTCACGCTGTGTCTGGGGGTTTCTATTACAGTGCATGTACTATACAGTGAAGATAAATATTTGAAGGTCGCTGGGAAAACAGTGTGTTATAATAACTTCTTTTAAATCATTGAAATGAGTTTTTCTGCTTGAACACTCACCAGCTGCTTAGTGTCTTGGAGAGAGTAATTTTGCATTATGTTCTCCACTCCTGCAGCTAGAAACTTGTCGTCAGGACTGATAGGTAGATTCATGCTTAGAAATTTAGAAAACTAATTTAAAAGCACATTTTAAAGAGGAGATAGTGGGTTTGGAGGCATGGCTCAGGTCACAGCGCGCAGGCCGGTGAGTGAAAGCAAGTATCAGATACCGAGTTCGAGTTGTGAAAAGAAAAAGGGAGGTAAAAGGCCAGTAGGGCAGAGGAAGGGAATATGGGAAGGGAAAACCAAGGTACACTTGAAGGGCAAAAGTAGGTTTTTCTTTTTTCTCGGAGGTGGTTTGGAGCTTGAACTCAGGCCCTTGTGCTATCTCCTAGCTTTTTCCTCTCAAGGCTGGTGCTCTACAACTTGATCCACACTTCTACTTCGAGCTTTTGGCTGATTAATTGGAGATAAAAGTCTCTTAGAGTTTTCTGCCTGGTCTGGCTTTGAACTGTGGTCCTCAGATCTCAGCTGCCTGAATAGCTAACATTATAGATGTGAGCTACTGGTCGATGCCTGGCTAAGAAGAAAGCTGGATGGAAAGGAAGGGTAGAGAGAAAGGAGGCTGTTTTGGAAACCCTGAGAGTGGAGAGCCTATTTGTACTCTGCTTTCTACCAGCTCAGCATCCACGTGTACTTTTTAGAAGGTCAAGGCCAAGGGTTGGTCCTCTAGTCTAGGATGAGGACAATGAACTCCTGGTCCATGCCCTCCCTCTCAGCTCTACCCCCACCCCTATGTCTGGCTTCAGTCTCTCTTGGACTGATCTATGCTTCTTCCAATGATTACTGTCATAAAATCTGGTCCTTACTCCTTCCAGACCAGACCCCTCTGGTTGGTTGAGAGGGCTGTCATGGAGCCCCGAGTGCTGGTAGCGCATGCCTGGATTCCTAGCCACTCGGGAAGCTGAGATCTGAAGATTGTTCAAAGCCAGTTGGAGCAGGAAAGTGTGTGAGACTTTTAGGTGCAATTAGCCACCAAAAAGCCAGAAGTGAGGAAGAGGCCCAAGTGGTAGGTGCTCAGCGTTGAATGTAAAAGCTGAAAGACAGTGCCCAGTCTTTGACTTCAAGCCCCAGGACTGGCTTGAACAAAAATAAAAGACATTCTCAGTCTGCTCCTGCTTCCAAAGGAAGAGCTGAGAGGTCTGCCGCATGGCCCCCTGCCACTGACTTCGGTGTAAAACCTTCATGGGGCTCTTGTTAAACTCTCGGGCATTCCAGCTTCTCATGCGAGAAAGGGTCAGATGTTCTGTTTCTTGTAGATTGCCCGGGAGAAATGTTACACCAAATACTTCCATTAAACATCCACATGTTATATCTACTTAACTCAAGCTGCATGCATTCTTTAATATCGGATTATGAGGTGTGCAGACAAATTTGCATATGACGTGCATGTGCATGTGTGTGCGTCCCCTCTGGGGGACAGGACAGGCAGAGGTCCCTGCCAACCTTGCTGGGCCTAGGACAGGGCAGCAGAGTGCTGGAGCACAGCAGCCCTGCCTGGCTAGCGCACTGGGCCAGCAAGAGGCGTGGTGGATTTCATGTCATGTGACTTACCTGTCACACACAGAAAACATCACGGTGGGTTTGCTCCTGCTTACCTGCAGTGCCATTTATCTGAACCACGGAGTGATGCATTGTAGTAGTAGGCGTTTGTGATCACACTGGGGGCTATGCTGTTGGGAACTAGGTGCTCAGGAGGCCTTTCTGGAGTGTGACCTGGCACCTGGCACTTCCATCTTGGAAGTTATGGTCGTCATTTCCCAGGATGTGATATGTGTATGCCCCATTTCCCAGGAGGCTTGGTGTGTGCCCTATTTCCCAGGATGCCTTGTGGGTGTACCACATTTCCCAGGATGCTTTGTGGGTGTGCCTCTGGGTGAGAATTGACCACGCAGGCCTAGAGGAAGCTCTCCGATGGTGCTGAGGTTGGTGAGTGCTATCCTAGATGGCATGTGTTGCCCACTGTGCTCCAGTCGAAGGATGGAGCTGTGACATCGATGAACACTAAGTGCCCAGATTTTCTTCTGCGTAGTTGGTTGCTTCTGTAATTATTTACCATTGCTCTAAGGGTATGAAGATCATTTTTACCAAAAAGGTAAATAGATACCTTGAATGTTCTAGTTGTCATTCCGATATTTTGGACCGAGCCGGGTAACCTGTTGAGCAAGCATTGTTTTTATACGACTCATTATACTTTGAACTTTGCTTTGAACACGGAGAGGATGGACTCTGGCTTCACAAGCTGTCCAGCATTGCTCTCGGACTTGGCCGCTGCACAGTGGGATGGGGCATTGGGGACAAATGAGTCACAAGAGTAGATTCTAAAACTGGCAAGTTGGTAAGCAGAAGAGGCCAGGTACAGGAACAGTGGCAGCTGACTGTTATATAAAATACACCAGGATTTTCCAGCATTTTCCAGCACCTTACCATCACAAGTCCAGATTCTCCCGGGTTTGGTGGATGAAGAAACGCTGTTCCATGTAGTCTAACTGCATGGAGTCTGGAAATCTCCATCTGGGGAAAATCTGGAAGAGTGCTCTCCAGCTGACAAACTGCGATTCATCTGGGGGTGGGGGAGAGGCCAATGAGAGGACTTTTTTTTCAATAGTGGGATTTGAACCCAGGCCCTAAGCCGGCAGGCACTTTACCACTTGAGTCGCCTCCTGTACCCCAGAGTTGTTTTCTCCCCCTTTTCAGGTTTGTTTTGGAGAGCTACAGTTTTTTGCCTGAGGCCAGCCTCAGACAGCATTCCACCCACCTACATTTGCCACCTAGCTGGGATTATAGGCATGCTCAACTTGGGCTACTTTTTTTCACCTTTGCATAATTTCCTCGGTAGCATGTAGAAATGGTGTGAGTGTTGGGGGGGCGTAAAGGGTCCTGACGTGAGAACGTGGTCTAAACATCCCGGGTGGATTCCGTGTCATCAGAAGAGCTTCCATGAGGCGCTGACATCAAGGAAGCGGAGCGAGATGAGAAGAGAATGTTCTGGGACTTCCAGGATGGAGGAGAGCCAAAAGCCCCAGGGAGGGAGGGGGCTGCCACCGAAAGGGTTTCTCCGCCGGACCCCCCAGAAGGGGCTCCGCGGGCACTAGGCGCCCTGCCTGGGCGTCGTGTGTGTGTGTGTGTGTGTGTGTGTGTGTGTGTGTGTGATCGTGTGTGTGTGTGTGTGTGTGTGTGTGGCTGTGCTGCTTGAAGCCGCAGTTTGTACTGGCTTGGTACAGCCGCCAGGCTCCCGTTTCTGGGTTGTAGGCCTCTGGTTCCATTCCTCTTGGGGCTGAGACCTGGCCTGTGAGCCGTCGCCGCCATCTTCCGCTCCTCGTAGCTCCGCCACCGGCCTCCGACTTCCTGCTCCCTCACCCATGCAGGTGTCACTGTCTCCATGATGCTGCAGACTCCAATCAAGATGGCTGCTCAGGCTGGAGACCCTGGGACTCCCTCCTCCCCTCATCTGGCCAAGGCATCCTAAGCAGTGTCCTTAGTCCCCTCGCCTCTTCCCACTGAATTGAATGCAGAAACTTCTAGGCACTTCCTTCTCTTGTGGTGGTATCCCTTTCCATCAATGGATCGAGTCCCCAAATCTCTCTGGACTCTGGACCCCTGGCCCTTCCTGACTTCTACCAGGATCCTGGGCTGCATCGCGTCCTGCCAGCGCCCACATTGCATCATGCCCCAGGCCGAGTCCTCATCTACCCTCCCAGCTCCTTTCAGACTCCACGGCTAAGCACCCCAGTTTCTCTTTTCTCCTGCTCCACCAGGAGGCTCCTTGCTGCTCCTCACCCCCTCACACTGGCTGTCAGCTCAGAGACTTTGCTGTTGATTTTCTTTTTTTAAATATATATTTTTTATTGTAAAGATACTGTATAGAGGGGTTACAATTAATGAGTGAGGTAATGAGTATGTTTCCTTTCTCTCTCTCTCTCTCTCTTTCTTTCTTTCTGTCGGTCGTGGGGCTTGAACTCTGGGCCTGGGCGCTGTCCCTAAGCTCTTCAGCTCAAGGCAAGTGCTCTACTGCTTGAGCACAGCAGCACTAGCGATTTCTACTGGTTTATAGGAGATAAGAGTCTCAGGGACTTTTTTTTGTTTTTTGTTTTGTCGGTCGTGGGGCTTGAACTCTGGGCATGGGTGCTGTCCCTCAGCTCTTCAGCTCAAGGCGAGCACTCTACCACTTGAGCTACAGCGCCACTTCTGGTTTTCTGGTGGTTTATTGGAGATAGGAGTCTCACGGTCTCTCCTGTTGAGTCTCAGGGACTTTTGTGCCCAGGCTGGCTTTGAACTGTGATCCTCAGATCTTAGCCTCCTTAGTAGGATTATAGGCATGAGTCACCGGCGCCTGACAATGAGTACATTTTCTATCAAGCACTGTTACTACATCCTTTGTTTTCCCATACCATCCCTTCCCTCCCAACCTCCCCAATCTTGATTTTCTTTCTCTCTTTTTGTCAGTTCTGGGGCTTGAACTCAGGGCCTGGGCACTGTCCCTGAGCTCTTTTGCTTAAGGCTAGCGCTCTACCACTTTGAGCCACAGCTCCACTTCCAGTTTTCTGGTGGTTCATTGGCTATGAGTCTCACGGACTTTCCTGTCCAGGCTGGCTTGGAACCGCGATCCTCAAATCTCAGCCCCCAGAGTAGCTAGAATTATAGGTATATTATAGGCATGAGCCACCAGCCCTCACTTGATTTTCTTTTGCGTGGAAAGGTGATCACGGCAAACTGTCCTTGAATTTTTCTGCCTGTTTCTGAGGCCTTCCCACCACCCCAGGGAAGACCAACACCCCAGACCAACACCCACATCTCCTTGTCGGCTTCATTTCCCTCAGCAAGTGAGAGCTGTGTGCATCTCTGGAGGAAAATGGGATGTTCCCACTCGGCTAGCAATGATGTCACCAGGACGTGGTCTCGCTGGGCCCAAGGTTCCTCCTGTCACCTGGCCCCGGCCCAGCGCCAGGTCAGTGGCCTGTGCCTGGGGACCGTGAGCAAAGCCTGCAGAGCCAGCCAGCCTGGCCGCCTCCTTACACAACCATGGTCCATCATGATTCCTGCTGCTCAGAGCTGGGTTCGAGTAGTGCGCAGTGGGCGGGGCACGGCTCTCAGCCTGGGTGTTTCAGTAACCGGCCTCCTGGCACCTAAACTCCTAACTTCTAACCTAAACTCCTAACTTGCCAAAGTTATAAGTCTCTGTGCCATTATAAAATAAATATGCAGGTGGCTGGTGCCTTTAATCCTAGCTTCTCAAGAGGCTGAGATCTGGAGGATCAGGGTTCAAAGCCAGCCTGGGCAGAAAAGTCTATGAGACTCCATCTCTAAATAAAAACCCCAGACTGGAAGCCTGGCTCCAGTGATAGAGCTGCAGTCTAGCGAGGAAGCCAAGGAAGGGCTCACGCACAGGTGTGTGCACATGTGTCCACGGGCACACGCACATGCATGTGCATGCATGGGCACGTGCGCGCAGACACACACACACACACACACACACACACAGGAAAAAGAAAAAGAAATACAATCTCCAAAATGAAGCAGAAAATATATTCCTGGTGGATTTCCGCTGCACGAAACCCTGATTGTTTGTTTGTTTTGGGAATATTGGACATTGAGCCCCGGCCTTGCCCACTAAACAAATGCACCATCATAGCTCTTGCTTTGTTTTTTTTTAATTTTTAGTTTTTGGTGCTGGCCCTATGGCTTGAACTCAGGGCCTGAGCTCTTTGGCTTTAGCTTTGGCTGAGTCCTTTAGCTTTTTTGCTCAAGGCTGGCACTCTACCACTTAAGCCATACTTCCACTTCCAGCTTTTTGTTGGTTAATTGGAGATGAGTTTCATGAACTTTCCTGCGTGAGCTGTCATTGAATCGCGATCCTCAGATCTCAGCCTTCTGCATAGCTAGGACTACAAGTGTGAGCCACTGGTGCCTGGCTCTTTTGCTTTGGGGTAATTTTTCAGTGTGGCCTCAAACTCAGTGTCCTCCTGCCTTTCCTTCCTGAGTGCTGGGATTACAGGTATGTACCCCCATGCCTGGCCACTCCTGACTTTTTTTTTTGCCAGTCGTGGGGCTTGAACTGTGGGCCTGGGCGCTGTCCCTCAGCTCTTCAGTTCGAGGCTAGCGCTCTACCACTTGAGCCACAGCGCCACTTCCAGTTTTCTAGTTGTTTATTAGAGATAAGAGTTTCACAGACTTTCCTGCCCAGGCTGGCTTTGAACCTCGATCCTCAGATCTCAGCCTCCTGAGTAGCTAGGATTATAGGCGTGAGCTACCGGCGCCCGGCAACTCCTGACTTTTGATTGACAGATACCCTGAAGTCAATGTCCTGCAGAAGTGACGTGAGAATGAAGACCCTGGAGAGTGGATGGGACACAGCTAGCAGGCCGAGGGCCTCTGGGAAGAGCCGGGGGACGCTGTTCTCGGGGACAGCAAACGGTCCTCAGGGCTGGCCCCGGGCGGCCGCTGGGAGGAGCCGGCCAGATATTTGTAAAAGGAGGGGAAGAAGGAGCAGGAAGATCAACAGCAGCCAGGAAGCCTAAGGAAGAACCATGAGCCCCCGAGTGAGAGGGGAGCGTGGGCCGGAAGCGGGCTGCGGGCAGGGCCCTGCTCGGGGAGACCCCGCTCCACGCAGCTCGGCTGCACAGATTCGTGGTGCCCATGCCGCCTGCCTGAGGGAACCCACGGGGGAACTGAGGGGCCTGGGCTGCCAGTTCTGGGGGCGCTCAGCCTAGCTGTGAGCCCCAAATGCCCTGGTCTGCCTCCCCTTCAAGTGAGGCTTCGGCTCCACGCGCGTGCGGGCCCACCATGGCCCGTGCACCTCTGTCCCCTGCTGGCTGGTGTGAGCCACACGTCACAGGACCCCCGGGAGCCGATCACGCGGAACACGCAGACACACAGCACCGCCTCCCATTGGATTTGCCCTTCCGGGTCATTCTCCCATGCCGTCCTCTTTCTGGAGTCTTCCCTGGTCCCCAAGAAGCTCTCAGCTCTTAGCTTGGGAACAAACTGGGACAGGGCCACCACCGTGAGCAGTTCACGCCCTCCCTCCGAGCTGGCAGGACTGAGGCCGATGTGGGCGGAGCCACGGGCCGGGGCGTGGCCTTCACACCCCTGGCTTGGCGCGGCTGCGAGGCCTGCCACCATAGAATCCCCTGGGAGCCGAGGCCAGTGGGAGGGAGAGAACCAAGATGGACTGTTCTAGAAGCACGCTGGTTTGGGAGGAGGGGTCAAAGGGCAGGGGCTCGGCCTGTGGGGAGTTTTGTGCGAGCTCTGAGGGCTGTGGGTTTGCTGTCAAAACCCCTTGTCTCGCTGGACCAGGTCCGCAGGGCATCCCGTTCACCTTGCCTGTGTTAAATAATCTTTGCTGACACCAAAGGCAATTCATCTTTGGCGCACACGCACAGCCTTCCCTTCAGGCTTCCAAGGGGGTCCCAGGGTCTGTTCTGTCTCCTCGGAGTGTGTCATTTTATGCTGCACAGCCAGATCCCACAGGCAGCTTCTGGAGCCTTCTTTCTCCTGGTCATCTCCCTCCAGCCGCAGCCTCCAGCCCTCCTCCCCGCTAGGAAGGCCAAGCCCAGCCCTGCCCGCCCTGCCCAGCCCTGCCCGCCCTGCCCGCCCTGCCCAGCCCGGCTTCCCGGCCTGCGCCCTGACCCCCACCCGCCCTCTCCGCTCTCACTTCTTTCCGCCTGTTTTTCTTGGGGCGGGCTCAGCGCCTTGATCGTCTTGTTTTCTGTCTTCCACAAAGCCCAGCTTGCATACACCTGCTGAATGGACTTGACTCCAAACGTCAAGCACACTCGGGCATTTCCGGCCTGTGGGTGCCGTGCAGCCACCTCGTTAGGGACAGATGTGGCCGCCACCCTCGATCACTGGCCGGGCTGTGTCCCCCGTGGCTGCGCAGACCTCCGACCTCAACCGACACCCAAGGCCCACTGGCTTCCTATGAAAGTTTTCTGGCCCGTCCAACTCATCCAGACATTCTAGATTAAGCTGCCCTTTAGCAATTAGAGTGGACTTTAGTTGTTTTCGAAAGATGAATTGGGAGGTCATTTTCTAATTGTCAGCAGTTGTCAAGCAAACAGAGACAAAGCTGCGGTGGGGATGAGTGGCCGCCGAGGCCGCCGTGATGGATGGAGGGAGCGAGGCGGCCACCTCTGAGGCTCCCGCAGGACCGCGTGGGCCGAGCGGGAGCTCCCGGGACCGGCGGGGAAGCCGAGCCACAGGAGGACGTGGCCCAGGGCCGCTGGCATCTCTCTGGTGGGATGGGACCTCCTGGGTCTGCCCTGTCGAACCCAGAACCCCTCGTCTCAGCCGAGACGCCCTCGGCAGCCTCCGCCCCTGGCTTCGCGCGCGCGTGCGGACGCCACCGTGTGCCAGGGGAGTTTT